CCGGCCGCGGCGGCGGGAACCGCTCACCTCCTGCTCCCTCGCACCCCGCTCTGCTGTCCGCCCTGGCCTCTCCTGCGGGAGTCGCGAAAGCGCGGGAGCCCGGACCTCCGGCCATCACTTCGACGTCATGGCGGTGGCGGTTGAGCGTAGCCCCAGAGACACCACCCTCGGCCCCCGGAATGCGTTAGTCTGGGTCGGGAAGGGTCAGCGGTGGAGCCGTGGCCACAGCCCAGAGGCTGCACGGGCCAGAGGGGACACAGCACCATGGGCACCGCCGAGTCGGGCTTCCCACGTCCGCACACTAGGGAAACAGACACTGTACTGATTTGCTGCTGAAGTAATGGGCCCGAGAAACCCTTTATAAAGAGAAATTATTCCCTATCCTCTCTTTCATCTTGCTCTTCTAAAATCTGTGCAGTTTGGGTTTAGATTATTTATACTTTGAGTTTTTCATTGAGAGAAACCATACAACAGTTGATCTTCTGGGTCTGATTTACTTCACTCAGTGCTGCGGCCTCGGCAGGATGGGCACCGTGGAGGTAGATACTGTGGGGCTGGGGAGGTGATCTGGGACAGAGGAGACAGGAGGAGAAGAGCGCTGGACGGGAGTGCCCCCTGTGCCAGCTCCCCGGACAGATGCCATCACTGTGTATCAAAGCACAGACCAATAAAAAGCACGAGAGAAAACAAAGGAAATACTAAAAAGAGAGACGTGGCATGACTTTGCTCTCCTGCCCAGCGTTTTCCACCCGCGTGCCATGTGCTGAGTGGACGTTCGCAGCCTGGCGTGGCGACTCGAGGTCCACCTGGGCATCTGCCCCACCTGGGGCTCTTCCAAACTCATTCTCCACAGCCCCGTCCTCGCTCTTACCTCTGCTCTCTTTCCCGTCTCCCTGCATGTCAGGGTTGAGCTGTAAAGTGGCCCCGAGCCTCACATGTTCGGAAGGTGACTGGATCCCGGGAGGGTCGCACTCCCCCGTGGGTGAGCTCACGTCCGAGTGAGTCCAGAGCTGGACGTGTTGTCGGAGGCGGGACCGGTCAGCAGGAGTGGCCTCGGGGGCCGTGGTGGGGAGGTTTATATCCCCCAGCTGCTGGCTCTCGCCGGGCTCCTGGCCTCCGCGACCTGGACAGCTTACTCAGACCTGCTCTTCTGCCTCGGAGCCAGGTGCCGTGGACCGCAAAGGTGAGCTCACACGAACCTGTGTTCTTGCAAGTTGCGGGAGTAGAGCACTGTGCGCTAGGGGCCAAGAAAGCGGCGAAGTCACCAGCTGTCTCTCCGCTCCGTCTCTGCCTCTCTGTCTCTCTGTGTCCTACCTGTCTCCATCTTTCTCTTTATCTTCCTCCATCGATTTCTCTCCCTGCCTTTCTGTCTGCTTCTGCCTCTTTCTCCCCGTCTCAGAGGCCCCCCTACCTCTGGGCTAACCCGAGTCCCCTCTGTATCCCCTCAGGGACCTGCATTCCCTTTCACAGAATGCATTTGCTCAAAGTCTGCCCTCCTGCTAGGGAAAAGACTATAATTTGTCCCGGTATAATTACCAGGACAAAACCAAGTAGTGCTGACACATAGTATTTGCTCCACTAATTTCAGAGAGCAAACTATGCATTTTACTATCTGTCACACTGTTAGAGCTATTACTGATCTTTCAGATATAGTCATCAGCTCTCTTGTTTACAGATAAAGAATCAAAGCTCAGAGTGGTAAGATAATTTGCTAATGCCTCCCACCTGTGAATGAAGGGCTCCTTCTCAGCCCCGCATTCTTCCCACTTAGCACGCAGCACCTGGCCTGGTTTGTTGATGAGGTGAAAGGGCCTGGAAGGAGTAATGCACTGTTTCTGAAAACCCGTTCTTCATAATCTGGCACCTGACTTCCTGCTTTTAGGGAAATCTTGCCTCTTCAGTCCATGAATGTTTTAGCTCCCTCTTCATCATAATCACAGCTGGAAGGAAAGTAAGGGGGTAAGGAACTGGCCATTTTCAGACTGTTCCAGGACATGGTGTCCTGCACAGGCCCCTGCAAGGTGAGGGGGCCCTCAAGCCTCTGGCTTTGGGATTGGTGCCCTGTCTGAGGTCGGCAGCACCTCTCTTGGGCATTTTACCTGTCACTCCTGTGTGAGTTTGCACGGGACAGTGACGATTCCACGGCGGAAATAGTGCTTTTAGCCTATCCACCTATCTAATAAGGCAAAGGAGGAAAGTAAGGATCAGACAGAGCAAGGAAGAAATCGGCAAGGAAATGCCAGAGCTCAGATTCAAACTGAGTTCGGAGGGGTCCTCTCTCACGTCCGGACGGGTCCTCTCCATGAGGAATCCACTCCTAGGGTCACACGCACCAAGGAAGCATGGGGCGGGCAGACCGACTGGTGCCTGCGCGGTTCCCGTGGATTGGGGCTCCCTCCACCCTAGACCCAGCCTTCGTCCCCTCTCTTCTCACCTCTCACTGGCCAGACCTCCCTTTCCCTCTTTCTGTTCTCTGGGAAGCTCTGCACTCTGCGTTAGAGTGGTGTCAATGACAGAGCAGAAGTTCTTCCTGAGGGGCAGGGACAGGAAAAGACCACACTTCCCCTGAGCTGTCCCTGTGCAAGGGAGGTCATGATCGCTGGAGAAAGAGTTTCAGACTTGAGTGAAGGTGTAATTGTGTGTGTGTGTGCACATGCAAGTAAACATGTACATGTGGGCGCATGTGTGTGTAATAACAAAATTTATTTCCCAAACCCCAGACATTGCAGTGCTTGGCATGATTGAAGAATGGGGTGCTTACATTTTAAAACAATTTATTATGATCTCAAGGTGCATCCATTTTTCTACAAATGACTCGAAGTTAACCCTCTTTATGGTGGAGTAGTGCTCCAACTTGCATAAATAATATACTTTTCATCCACTCATCCGTTGATGGGCATAGAGGGTACTTCAAAGATTTAGCTCTTATGAGTTGTACTGCTGTAAACATGGATATGCATGGGTCACTGTGATGTGATGTCTTGAACTTTTGGGGAACACACCTTACAGTCATGATGTGAAGTGAAATAGATCAGACACACAAGCTGAAAGAGTGCACGGTTCCTCTTATATGAGAAATGCAAAATACAAATACATTAAAGAGCAAAATAAAAGATAGATAAAGAAAACAGGGTTAGATCGGTAGCGAATGAGCGGGGACCAAGAGGTGGAGATAGCGGGAGGGAAGACAGAGAACAATGTAGAAAGAATGAAGACGTGCTGTGTGCATGGCCGACTCTCCATGGGGAAGACGGTCATTTTGTGCCGCAAACATGGACTAAAAACCTAAAAATTAAAAAGGAAAGGCACATTGCCATTAATCCCCTTCAAAATACTCTCCTCGCTTGGAACACACTTACCCCACTGTCCTTGCTGTTTAGGCACACGGCTCTGGCGTCCTCTTTTGTGAGTGTCTTCAGCTGCACTGCTGCGGCTGCATTGCGTAGTTTTGAATCCATTCAAAACATGTACCTTTCATGGTTATTTTGACTTTGGGGAAGAGGCAGAAGTTAAAGGTGCCGGATCCAGTGAATGAGGTGGAGGAGGACACCCATCATGTTTTTATGAGCTGCCTTTCCATTGGGTGGCACTCAGCGGCAGCAGCAGCAGCATTCCCTATAATTTTGATCACACAGAGTAAAGACAAGCATGAAATAGAACTCCAGAACTGCTTCAGAATGTGAGCAGAACAATGGGATCAAGGCGCTCAAAGTGAGAGGGAGCATTTTGAGGGAAATTTATGATGATTTATGATGATGATTCTAATGCAGTAATTTAAAAAATTAAATATTAACCATATACTTTGATCACCCTCATATATATGTGTCCCTCCACTTTATTTGTGAAAATGTTAACTATATCAAAAGAGTCATAATGAAAAAGATTGTTCTGGCAGAAATGACACGTGGAAACTCCACCATCCATTCAGGCACTGACGCATCCATCCAAACACAAAGACTCAAGCTCAAAACGAAGAAATGGAAATACTTGAGTGCCAGAAAGAGAGAAGTCAAAATCAGAGCAATTGGTGTGGGGGGGTGCAGCCTTGTGGTTCCGGGGTTTTCTGAGCTGAACACACCCGTAATATCAGCGTCCTGGGGCGTTGAGGGCTGTGGGGGAGGTGTAGCCTCTGGCCTGGTGTCCCGTGTTTGAGGGGTGCTGATCCTGTGCTGATACACAGAACCGTGTCCATACATCAGGTCTTGGTTCACGCTGACCCCAGCCAAGGTTCACGTCCACGCCAAGTCGGCGTGAGTGTGGGTTTAAGGCAAAGCTCTAAGCCGCTGGGCTACAAGCCAGAGCACACAGCAAACAGCTCTGGGAGAAAGCATGTTCAGGACTCACAAATCACAAACCATACAAGGTAACAAGTCACCAAGGGGAAGCGTCCGCAGAAATAAGGAGGAAAACGTGTGCACTGTGACCTATTTACAACAGAACGTTCTGAATCGCTTCAGAACAATGTCCAGCTATGCTTTCATTTGAAGCTGTCTGCTGTTATAAGATCGCAGAGTCATGGGCCAAAGGCCATGCAGACTCTGGAAAGGAACTAAGCAAACCTGTTTGTCAGATGGGGAAATAGAGACTCGGCAGTGGGAAAGGACTTATCTAAGGCCACCACCAGGTTCGTGGCAGAATGAGGAGTAGAGTTCAAGTCTGTGCAGCTTTTTCTGACCAGGAAAAACCAGAGCAGGAAACCTAGCTCTTATTAGCAACGCTCTGATTTAACTAGGATTTTTAAATAAATGCCCCCCTTCATTTGCATTATACTGATGGGATCCTGTTTTCTATATCCCCACTTTGCTGAGTTTTCTATCTGACTGTCAGATACTGGCATTGTGGCATAGACAGGGCAGGCCGGGTTCTGTGATAGTTCCTCCTCCCTCCCAGCCTCTGCCAGCTCTCCTGCTGCATTTGAGCACCACAGAATGACAAACTGATCACGACAGATCACACAGGTGACAGAAGTCCCGTAAGATTACAGTGGAGATGAAAATCCCTGCGGCTGGCAGACACCTTAGCCGTGGTGAGGTAAGAGCACAGCACATGACTTGTGTGTGTGGGTAAAGAGCTACTGCAGAGTCAGCCTTACAAAGCCATGATGCACACAGCTGTGTACGGTATAGAATGCTCAACTACAGCAATGAATGACTAGGTTGCTGCCTTGTTTTTATATTCAACGTGCCATCAGCGGCCTCATATGTCTTGTGTTTACTGGGTCTCTCGGCTCCATTGTTTTCTCTTGTGCTAGATTTAATCTCAGAACATTTTTGGTCATCGTGATTGGTACAGTATTTATTGTTAATGTTTCCATTAAGAGACTGGGTGAGTGACTGAGCTGGAAATGAAATTGAAGTCAAGGACTGTGAAGGTGCCTGGTAGGCTCTTCCACCCAGGGCAATACCAATACCCTCTGTGATGTGCGCAGAACAGTGCCCAGAGGTGCATTTCTCGGAACCGAGACCTACTGTTAAGTAGCTGGTGACTGTGAACCTCACAGGAGGGTTGGGAAGAGAGAGAAGGGTTAGACAAGGAACCTCCAGGTCGCCCTTATTAGCTGTGACTACCTGTGCAGGAGAGGGGTGGTTTGGGTCTGGCAGGACCAGAGCTTCAAAGACCAGATCAAATGCAAATAAGGCAGAAGCTCTTGACAGGCAGGCACAGTCCTTTATTATGTCAGACACCAAGGGTAGACGGCTGCAAGTCCATCACGTTCAGATCAGAAAATCAAATTCCTCCATGATAAGAAATGTGGATAGCACAGATACACTGACACAGAATATGTACCCTCAACTGAAGTAAATTGAAACAAAAGTCTTATAATCACACTCCTTTGGCTTGGGTATCTGTTCCCAACCAGTCCATGACCTGCTTTTCCAGGGAAAGGTTTGAGACATTTAGATTTGTCTGCTTTATTCACTATTTGTGCATTTGATATTAGCAAACACTGATGGAATATCTACCATGTACCATACAGGGCTATCCTCCAGGATTAAAATAATGAATAAAGACACAGTGCTTGCCATTAGTATAAGGAGTCTCCAAATACTTCATGGGATGAATTAATATTTTAAAACTCGACATTACTTATTTATATTGGTGTTTGTGACACCTAGTAACTGTACTTTTGTTGGGGTGGGTAGGAGCTGCTGGTAAAGTGAAGGCTGCTCCAGCTCAGCCTCTTCCAAGGCATGGGTGAGGAGTTGAAGGGGGTAATGAGTTCCCCCGAGGTAGCTGAGACCCTGGAAGGCTGGCACTGGGGAGGGAGTCTAGGAAGAAAGAAATTGATCTGAGACAGCATAGGCCTGAGAATTCAGAGAGGCTTTCAGGAAGAAGTCAGGTTTGAACTGAAATATGAAGGTCAGGCAGATGCTGGCCTGAAGAGTTTAAAAAGCAGCACAGTCTGAACAAGCCACATGCTCCGCCCAGCCCAAGGCAGAGAACTGCAGGGCTGAGTAATCGCCTGCAGCTGTCTACTTTCCTGCACCTCTGAAGACAATTCATTCTTCAGTTTGAACTTGAATACATATATTGCTCCCCAATACATATTTAAAAACTTTCTTCACCTACTGTACAATCCTCAAGTTTGTAAATATTTGACACTCAGGCTAAAACTGAAGAACGTTCCTGTCTGGCCCTTACACTATAGGATAGGATTCTTCTGGGTGTTATAGAAATGCTACAGGGCCCTCCCCTGTGCATGGGAGGACTGTGGAAATATTGAAATAATTTCTCCCTGTCACTTGACAGGTGTGTCTCCATATCTCTAGAGGCCCCACCCACCTTGATCACTTAATTCTCCGTGACCTAATAGTAGAGACATAACTGGCCCAGCCAGAAGTTCCCAAGGCCCTGGCACTGTGGCCTTCATCCATTCCAGTTAGTAGACAGGACAGGTACAGCCACATCCTTACTGGCTCCTGAATATCTTCTGGGCTCCTGAATACCTAAGCAAACCGCCTTCTCTTTGGGGTCACGGAGCAAATCGTTGCCCAGGTAGCCACAGCAGAGGAAAGCTACGAGCCACCGGGGACTCAACAGACAGCCTGGGGCCCACTGAAGCAAATTCTTAGGAATCAGAGCTGTTCAAGGACAGGAAGTAGGAAGACACTTCACTCTGAAAACATTCAGGCAGGGTTTGATGATGCTCTCAAGACTGTATCAGGGGAGACTGAGGAAGGCTGGGAAGGCAGGTTCTGGCTAATAATGGGACTTCAGAATTCTGTTGTTCCAAGTCTGTACCAGTAAACTACACATCCCAGGCAAAATCCAGCCCTCAACTGTCTTTGTAAATAATGATTTATTGGAACATCACCATACCTGTGCATTTACACTTCATCTGCTTTTGCACCATGAGGGCAGATCTGAATAGTTACCCCAGGAAGCACTTGTTTATGAAGCCTAAAATACTTACTATATGGTCATTTATGGAAAAGTTTGTCCATTTGGTTCTAAAGGATGCTTGGGATGAATTCTTTGATAAAGCAATTAGTCACTCCTAACCCAGGTGAGGGTGCAACCAGACTGCTTTCCTTACAGAGATGCATGCCCTTGCTTAGGGGATTAGCAGAAAATATCCAGGTGTCCCTTGTGAGCTAATGTGGCTTCATGTGCAGATGACCAGGGAAAGACAAGCTCCTGAGATGCTCTCACCTGCCCTCTTCCCTTTTCCACCTGAACTGCAGGATCAATCTGCTTTTGCACACTCAGTTCAGCAAAGGTGAAAGCTGGTGGATGTTGAGCTCCTACCTGTACTCCCTGATGATGCCATTAGTCCCCTTAGCCACTGCACAGAGGTGGATACTACTGTTAGCTTTACAGTCGAGGAAATGACACCTTAGGGAGACTCCAGCATTTCCCAGTGTCACGTGTGGAGACGGAATGTTGCTTTTTTTCCCACTTCTGCAACCTTCTTCTTACTCTGTACCTGTCAGTCTAGCAGTTGAGATTTTTGAGCAGCTATGCAAAACAGAACCAAATCTCGTGACTGCACAGAGCCACAGTCAGCTCAAACTCTCAATCTCTCATTTAGATTACTAAAAAATAGGGGAGACAAGAGGACTATTTTAATAAAAGGCCCAATGCTCCCAACTCTGCACAACCATGTGATAGAAGACCCACCTCACCAGACTTGCTTGCTTTTACTTTGACTTGTTCATTTGGATTTCAAGTAGAAAGAAAAGTGCGGGCAACTTCTATTTTGCTTCAGCTAGAAATACATCTGGAGATCCAGTGCTAAAAGAAGTAAAGACTGAAGGTTAGACTAGCTTTGTATTATGCATTAGTGCAATCTGCCAACAGTTAGCCCAACTCAGATACCGACCCACTGCAGCTCAGTCACTTCTTTTGCTCAAATCTTCCTCAGAAAGGTAGTCACATGATCCGAGACACGAGGACTGAGAATGGAGTACATAAGAGCAATCCCGCTATATTACATAAGAACAATCCCGCGATATTTCCGGTCCTGGTAACCACAGAGACCTCCAGGCTAGATTGTTTGCAGCCCAGGGAGAACGCAAAGGGCACTTTCCACATTACGCTGACTGCCGAGGGGAGAGGCCCTAAGGGCTACAGCCCTGTGGATCTCAACTGGA